TTGTGGGGATGAGCACTGAGTGTTATGTGGAAACTAATTTGACAATAAACTATTTGTAAAAAAAAAAAAAAGAACACAGAAAAAAAAAAAGAATGTACTGCCATCATGAAGTCATGACAGGACTGAGCCCCACTCATCCATAGTTGTGACCTTGTGTTGGCCCTTTCCATTCCATTTTTTTCTACATATTTTCCGTGGTCGCCGTCCAAATACAACACTTGCCTAGATTCCCAGTCCCAGGTATGCCAACCTAAGACAAACGGTTATGGTTAACATGTGAAGGACTATCTTCTCTTATACTGATCTTAATAACCTACTAGATATTAAAATAATTGGTAGAGAAAAGTATAAAGATGAGAAAAACTGAAAATGAAGAAAAAGATTAATTTTGAAAAGAGGGAGGCCTTTTTCACAACCAAAGTAGAGAGAAGCACAGAGAGATGTATTATCTTACATGAATCTGAGCACTTTCTTAAGATATACAAGTAATTACAAGGTTGAAAAGGAAAGAGAAAATTGGTGAATCCTGGCATTTTACACCTTGCAAAACTCATCCTTGATAAGATGCTGTCAATTTCCCCCAAAGTACATTGAAAGGTCACAGATGTCTAGTCCTACTGCAGGCAACCCTGGAATTCCTCCCTATCTTCTTGTTTTAGATCTCACCTATGAGTTGATCCATCAGATGAACTTGATGTTGAATGAGACAAACTCTTCTTAGCGGGAGCTTCATCCACTGTAAGGAGGAATGAGCAGCAGATAAGCAACACAACCCTATGCCCATGTGAGACCTCAGCGCAGAGTAAGGTAGTTGAGAAGCCATTTACAGCACATTGGCGAGATCCATCTCAAGCATGAGTTCTAAGCTCTTTCCTTTGATTCCTTTCTCAGAAGATATAGATGAAAATTGTGACATAGCCATGGGAACCCTCTAACATAGCCTTAATTTAAATAATAGGCAGTGTCATCCTATCCTCCTCTCAATGCTTCTCATGCTTTTCCAGGGAAAAATAACCACCCGTTAGATATTCCTCAATAATGCAGATTCCAGGTTCCTACTTCCAGGGATGAGAAGTCATCACATTTCTGTGATACAACATACAAACCAACAATGGCTGGATCATGGTGCAAAAATAGAACTCTGACCCACAAACTGTAGCAGCTTGTCCAGGAACCAACCCCCTTATCTGTAATAAACAGCTTAGGAAGTCAGCCTGTCATAAGTCCAACTTGGAAGAAATCAGACTGCTAACTTTAGTAACAATCTAGGAAGCTAAACAGTAATTTATGTAGCAATAGTACCCATATTAACAATTTTAGTTAATAACTATCACCTAAGTTTTGTTCCCCACTTCCAAGTTAGGACAAACTAGAGAAATCCCAATAAGTATCCCTGACCAGTCATTGGGGTTTTAGTTAACCTATCTCCTGCTTTCCTATGCCAACAGCCCCCAGTTGGAGCAAACCTGAAGCTTCTCTATTTTTGCATTCTAAAGCTTAACCCTCCTCTGCCTTTGAGTCTCCACCAAAATACAAGTGACAGTGGCTGACTGCCTTGCTATAAAAAGGTCTGAATAAATAGCCTTTTCTTTTCTTTTTTCTTTTCTTTTCTTTTCTTTTCTTTTCTTTTCTTTTCTTTTCTTTTCTTTTCTTTTCTTTTCTTTTCTTTTCTTTTCTCCTTTGGCTCATTTTCTCATTATGTCCACAGTGCTCAGTCAGTATTTGTTGAATGATCAAACAAATGAAATAGGACATCAATTGAGTACAAGTTTTGCTTGTCAGGCTCCTGTCATGCATGACAAAACTCCCAGATTGTAGCTTAGGTATTAACTCTAACCCTCAATGATGATCATGTTCTCTCCCAGCCCCCATGGGTGAGGTAAGGGTGAAGGCCTCTGACAGAAGTGTGGGTTAACATGTCATAGGATGTCCCATAGGTGCCTTCTTCCTTTGTTTAGGTGCAACCTGGGATATTTTTCAGAGTTAGGGCTATGGGGAATGAACTTTGTCCTGAAGTCAATTCATTAATTTTGGCTTCTTCCTTGGTGTGGAGCTTTTGCCTATTCCCTGAGCTCATTATGAGCTGGGTTAGGTGTCCTGAGGCATCTGCTCTGCAACTACAGATATAAATCTGGGACATGAGTTCATTGTCACTTTTATGAGAAACAGAAGAACACCTTGGGTGGTTAGTTCCATAAATTTTTATTTTGGGGCCTTGGAGTGGGGAGGAGAGTGTGTGTAGAGCCTTTCACAGGCCACCATTGCCCTGAGGGCTCACACATTGCCCTGAGGATTAGATCTTTTCATGCTTCTTGGGTATGGCCCATCTCTGCTGAGATTCACAAAGTGGAGCAGAAGGTAAACTGTGGTGAGCTGAATGGTGTGGGAGGTACTGAAAGGGGTGAGAGAAGACCTGACAGATGAGAGACTAAAAGTGACCAAGAAGTGGTAATTCTTCTGACTTCAGGCTTCAGCCTAGAGACTCACATTGGGTACAGAGATACCTCCTTGATGTCAAGTGACAAAAGTTTTTGGCATCAGAGTGTAGGTAGATGGTAATCCTAGTTTACTTGGGCAAAATTGTGTCTTTCTTTATCCATTCTCTAGTCTCTGAACTGATCTCCACGGTCATCAGGCAGGTGTTGACCTTTTCCACACATGTGCCCATGCCGCTCTGGTGACTGTGGCTGTGTTTCATTCCTGCCTGTGCTGATCTTGGAATCTACATCCTTGAGCTGTGTTCTGGCTCCATTTACTGGCATGTCTCTGTAACTTGCTATGTCTTAGGATTTTCCTACCTACTGCCATGATCTGACTCCAGACAGGTTTCTCACCACTGCCAAAATGAAACTAGAATTATGCACCCAGATGGCTATATTCCAGTGCATGTGAACATATTTCCCCATTATAATCACCTGGAGGGCTTTTAAAAAATCATATAGGAGGGACATTTTCGAAATTCAGTGACCCAGAGACCCAGGGGTGGTACCAAGGCATCTTAAAAAAAAAGATACCTTGGGGTTCCACCATTTCTGGAGTGACCACTGGCTGGCCCTTCCTTTATAAATTCAGTGAATGTGTCTTAGAACATTCAGTCGTTCTAATTAGTTTAGTACCCTACCTAGATTTGGCAGTATGTGAAGTGACTGATGTACAACTGGGAGATAGGCATGTTCCAGCCTCTTCTCTACATTCCAAGGAGCAGAGTGGTGAATATGCCCAGAGAGGCATCATGAGATTCTCATGATGCATTTGACACCAACATTTAGCTTTGTTGTAGTACCTGTATTGGGAAAACACAATAAATAAATCACATAAGCAAACAAACAAACCAAATTAAAATCTTCTCCCAACATAGAAAACAAGTTTATTTTGAACAAGAATTAATCCAGAATGTGATACCCACTACAGAGATAACCTGCTGAGAGATTGCAGAACAGAAGAAATCTCATCCCTTTATACACAGGCAATAACAACCTGTTACGAATATGCTTTTGAAATAAACAAGAACTAGTATTCAAGTAAGAGGATTTGACAGTACTATTTGTAACATGCAGCTCATCTTAGATTCATCTGGTAATGAGGGTTGCAGTTTGTGTTAGTTAATTGGCCTTATCCAAAGAAAAAACAAATTTCTCACACTTTACGACAAGAGGTAATTTTGTCACTTAGAGCTTGGTGCCTGCTGAAGTTAGGGTCCTACTCTCCCACAGAGTCTGAAAGATAGAGGCACTATCTTCCTTGATGGTTACATTTCAAAGAGATGGATCCTAGGTCCTTGAGAAAGACATTCCCAGGTCAGAAAGCTGGCAAGAAGCTTACTTAGTTTTAAAAGGTTGAAACACAAGGCAGAAACAAGGACATTACAATTAGAAGTTTCCTAAAGTAAACGCTCTACGAAAAGAGGGGTTACTTCTTTTAATTTTAAACACATTTTAAATTATTTATTTATTTTAATGGGGGGAGGGTCAGAGAGAATCCTAAGCAGGCTCTGCACGGTCAGTGGAGAACCCCCAATGTGGGGCTCAATCCCACAAACAATGAGATCATAACTTGAGCCAAAATCATGAGTCAGAAGCTTAACTATTTGAACCACCCAGATGCTCCTCACTTCTCTAATTTTTAAATTTACATTTATCCTTACACCTGTCAAGCCATTTCTCTCCTCCCTTATCTTTCTTGTCTTCCAATACCTCACTTCCATTCTTAAACCTATGTCCTAAGTCTACAGCTATTCCTCTGTCATTTAAGCACCTTCTCTTCATCGCTTACATTCTCTGGCTCCCTTCCTGTGGGGTCCTGCTCCTCCTGTTTTGAGAGAAGTAAGGATCAAATCTTGCTAGATAAGTATCTGAGGGATGGAAGCTGAAGAAAAAAAATGGAAGGAAGGAGGGAAGAGTGGGGTCATGTCAGAGGGTTGAGCTCTGCCTTTTAGAAGAAACAGGAGAAATGTGGTTATTTGGAGATACCACTAGTAGTTTCATTTGTTTGCTTCTTTGTTCTCAGGGTCTCAGCCATGGAGCTATGGAACCACACCTCCCGATCAGAGTTCATCCTTTTGGGACTGTTCAGCTACTCAGCATATGATTTCCTCTTTTTTCCCTTTGTCCTTCTAGCCTCCACTTCTGCCCTGGTTGGCAACATCCTCTTTCTCCTACTCATCCAGGTCAATAGGCACCTGCACACCCCAATGTACTTTTTCCTCAGCCAACTCTCCATCATGGACCTGATCATTATGAGCACAGTGGTGCCCAAGATGACAGCTAATCTTCTCTTGGGCCGTAAGTTCATCTCTTGGGGTGGCTGTGCCATTCAGGTCTTCCTAGTGGTCATGGTAGGAGGAGCAGAGTGCTTCCTCTTGGCAGTCATGGCCTATGACAGGTATGTGGCAGTTTGCCACCCCCTGTGGTACCCTGTGCTTATGAACTGGAAGGCTTGCTCTCTCCTGGCCTTGGATCCTGGATGGGTGGTTTGGCTGACAGTGTGATTGATGTGGGCATGGTCTTCAGTTTCCCCTACTGTCGCTCTCTGAAGGTGGATCACTTCTTCTGTGAGGTCCCTGCCCTGCTGCGCCTAGCCTGTGCTGACACCTCACTCTTTGAGGATCTCATCTATGCTTGCTGTGTGGTCATGCTGCTGCTGCCCCTTGGGGTCATTGTGGCTTCCTATGCCCGGGTCCTTGCAGCTGTCATTAGGATGCCCTCCACTGAAGGGAAACAGAAGGCTCTGACCACTTGCTCCTCCCACCTGGCTGTGGTGGGCCTGTACTATGGAGGAGCCATGTTTAGCTACATGCAGCGGGCCTCCACTAGAACACCAGTGAGAAACCGAGCCACCTCCATCTTCTACACCATCCTCACTCCAGTGCTCAACCCACTCATTTATAGCTTAAGGAACAGGGAGGTAACAAGGGCCCTGAGGATGGTGCTGGAGAGATGGAGAGTGTAGGCATGCCTGCTCTTCTGGGACTTCCTTTTTTGGTCTGCCCCTTCCTCTGTAAGCGTAGGCTCTCTTGTGGCTCATCTTCTTCTGTACTCACTGGGCTTCTCTGGCTGGTTATGGCAAGACTGTGAGCTGAGTAATCAGAAAATATTTGATTGGAAGATATCAACATAACAGATTGTACATGACCAACAGCATAATACATATTTCCCCGCCTTGGGCACCACAATTTTCATGGAATTAAGGCCAACAGATGCATTAGGTTACTCTCCTTTGGGTTGGTAGGGGCAGTCTTTATTCTGAGTTGCATGTTAAAAGTGAGCAAGGAGTGGGAATCAATTCAGAACTCATGTGTACACTGAAATATGGTGCCCCATGGTAGAGTCTAGCATAGAGTATATACGCAAACTTGGACAAGGTTATTTCTCTCTGGACTTAACTTTATTTGTCTGTACCATCATAACTACCAGTAAAGTACGTCCTATATTTCTGGCGCTATTTTTTTTTTTAAATTACTGATTACTTAAACTCTATTTCCATGTATCTTACATTATTGTTTATATATATATTTAAATTTGTTTAATGTTTTATTTATTTCTAGGAAAGAGAGAGAGAGAGCGCGTGAGCAGGGGAGGGTCAGAGAGAGAGGGAGTCACAGACTCTGAAACAGGCTCCAGGCTCTGAGCTGGCAGTCAGCACAGAGCCCGACGCGGGGCCCGAACCCACGAACCGCGAGATCATGACCTAAGCGAAAGTCGGACGCTTAACAGACTAAGCCACCCAGGCGCCCCATATATATATATTTTTTATTTTAGAGAGGGGGGGAAGGGGCAGAGGGAGAGAGTAAAGAATCCAAGCAGACTTCACACTTAGCATCAAACCTGACATGGGGTTCGATCCCATGATCCTAGGATCGTGACCTGATCAGAAATCAATAATTGGATGCTCAAGTGACTGAGCCACCCAGGTACCCTTGTGTGTCTTCCATTATTAAGCAGCAAATTAGTTTTATGCCTACTAAAAATTGCACTTTAAATACAAGTATTGAAATGTAAAACCTCAAAGAAATACAGCCAGGACATGTTATAATCTACCAGTTTTGCTGACAGAATAACCCTGCAGAAAATACAGAGGATACAAACATGTCACTCTATGCAATTCAGGAATTTTGATATCAAATTGATTCTTGATCATTGAGACTAAAGTTGGAGAAGGAGTAAGGTGTGAGAAGACTCTGGCAGGAACTGCCTTTTACAGTTTCCATCACAGAGGTTCCAGAGGGATTTGGGAAATAATCTCCTAATCCAGGCCTTCTACAAATATTTTTTTTCTTTTTTAAATTATTATTTTTATTATCTTATTTTTTTGCCAATAAAGGTACTTCTTTTTGTTTGTTTGTTTGTTTATTGTCAAATTGGTTTCCATATAACATCCAGTGCTAATTCGAACATGTGCCCTCCTTCATGCCCATCATGTCTTTTCCCCTATCCCCCACCCTGATAGACTCTCAGTTATTTCTCAGTATTTAAGAGTCTCTTATAGGGGCGCCTGGGTGGCTTAGTCGGTTAAGCGTCCGACTTTCGCTTAGGTCATGATCTCGCGGTTCGTGGGTTCGGGCCCCGCGTCGGGCTCTGTGCTGACTGCCAGCTCAGAGCCTGGAGCCTGTTTCTGAGACTGTACCAGTTTACATTCCCACCAACAGTGTAGGAGAGTGTCCATTTCTCCACATCCTCGCCACCATCTAGAGTCCTCTGATTTCCTCATTTTAGCCACTGTGACTGGCATGAGGTAGTATCTAAGTGTGATTTTGATTTGTATTTCCCTGATGAGGAGGGATGCTGAGAATCATTTCATGTGTCTGTTGGCCATCTGGATGTCCTCTTTGGAGAAGGGTCTGTTCATGTCTTCTGCCCATTTCTTCACTGGGTTGTTTGTTTTTCAGGTGTGGAGTTTGGTGAGTTCCTTATAGATTTTGGATACTAGCACTTTATCTGATATGTCATTTGCAACTATCTTTTCCCATTCCATCAGTTGTCTATAGTTTTATGGATTGTTTCCTTTGCCGTGCAGAAGCTTTTAATCTTTTTTTTTTTTTTTACAAATAGTTTATTGTCAAATTA